GATCATTTTTGTTTATTGTATCATTGTACTAGTGCAGAACAATCCGCTTATGACAACTGCTGGTTTCTAAATCCTAGATTAACCTTCAACTGATAAAGCGATACACAGAATTCATATTAGTATTATTGAGATACTCGTGACCCGTTGGTGTCTTTTTAACAACATTAATGAATGTTTTTCGTACAAAATAGTTTATTAATTCTAATTTCTTTATTTTACGTAAATTTACAAAATTTAAAACATCATAGCTTACCACTTTGAGAGTATCCAGCTGGAATTCTTTCAGCTTTGACCCAGAAATATCAGCTGGGAATTATCTCTTTGGCAGTTTAGTAAAACTTAAAATAGCAATGAAAAAAGAATTTATTTTTTCCTTTTTTACAGTCTACAATATTTATATTAACGATAAAAATGCTTTTATACGTATTTTCTTGATATTAACGGGGATAAGATGAATTTTGAGATATATTTGACATATAGTATACATAACTATATGTCACGTTCGTGAAAATAATATTTCATTTTCATTCTGACTTTTGTTTGCGTTATTATTAAAATTAGCTTATTATATTATCCAATCTTGTATAGTAAAAATACAACTTTGCATATATCGTTTATAATTGGTAAATTCACGAGGAGTAACAATAATTAAAACCTTAAATGATCGATTCCAACGTCGACGTCAGAAAAATTTCAAAGTCAAACTACTTAATATTGTAGGGTGGCGAATACTGGTCTTGAGACACCGAAAATTATCGAAAGAACAGGAACACGATAACACAATCTCAAAACTCGTAAACTGATTTAACTTAGGAAAAGAACACTAAGATAACGAAATGAAAACACACAAGGATGCACTCTTTTAAAACTCTTTTTCCAACACCAAGCGACTCACGCTTGTGCTGGTCACAACCGATTTCTAAGGACTCTGTTTTGGTTGTCAAGGACCACGCTTTTATGCTTTCCTTAACCTACGCTTCACCTCCCCGTAGAGGAGTCAGGCAACTTAATTTTGTTATATAGAATAACTTTTCGATTTGCTTTTAGAAGATATCGATCGGTTTACAATTTGTTTTTGTTGGCAATAGTCGATTCGCGATTTCTTTTGGTATCCTACAATATCTTTTACGTTTTAGACATTACTGAGACAAAAACAAGGAACGAAGAATTATATGCATATAGAGAGTTACAAAATTCACGCGAGATTTGAATTTTGTGCCATTTATGCGGTAAAGTGGTGTCAACGGAAGAGAAAGACAGCGTGACAGCTGACAGTTCAGGGTTATTAAAAATGGAGCACTTGGTGAAAGAACAATGCATCTTCATTGTTGAGCAATGTTTACAATTTTTAATTAAAAACCTGTGTTTTCTGTCAAAATTACTTCTTGCGTGAATTTTGGAACACTATATATACAGTAATGGAGTTGCATACGGTAAATTAGCTTCACGTGATCGATTTGAATGCCATCGTCAGACAAATTTTAAAGCTAAACTACTTCGTATTCTTTGTACATTAAGCACGATATATTGCAAAAGTGTTAAATGGTGAATGGAATGAAGAATAGATAATTAAACACATGGTTGTAAATTATATATTTGTATATTTTTTTGATTCTACGTGATTAGTTTGAATCCTGATGTTAGAAGAATTTCGAAGCTAAACTACTTAATATCACTTACATATTGAAACAACACTATACGACAAGGTCAGGAACAAGGAATAAAAATAGTATTACACGCAATAATTATATATGTAATTAATCTTGTGTTATCAGTTTGAATATCTTGGTCAGAAAAATTTCGAAGCTAAACTACTTAATATTACTTGTATACTAAAACAGCACTGTGTAACAAACTCAGAAACAAAGAATAAAAATAGTGTTACGTACAATAATAAAATTATATACGTAATTAATAGTGTGTAAGTAGTTTGAATACCGATATTAGAATAATATTATAGAACAAAGTCAAGAACAAAGAATAAAAATAGTATTGCATACAATAATATAATTGTATATTTTATTGATTTTATGTAATCGGTTTAAATATTTGGGTCAGAAAAATTTCAAAACCACGCTACTTAATATCACTTACATATTAAAACAATACTATACAACAAAGTCAGGAACAAAGAATAAAAATATTGTTACGTACAATAGTGAAATTATATGTGTAATTAATCGTGTGTAATTAGTTTGAATATTGATGCCAGAAAAATTTCAAGGCTGAACTACTTAACATCACTTATATATTAGAACAATATTATAGAACAAAGTCAAGAACAAAGAATAAATACAGTATCATATACAATAATATAATTGTATATTTAATTGATTTTGTGTAACCTGTTTGAATATTTGGGTCAGAAAAATTTCAAAACCACACTACTTAATATCACTTACATATTAAAACAATACTATACAACAAAGTCAGGAACAAAAAATAAAAATAGTATCATATACAATAATAAAGTTATATATGTAATTAATCGTATGCAATTAGTTTGAATACTTGGGTCAGAAAAATTTTAAAGCTAAACTACTTCATATCCCTTACATACCAAAACTATACAACAAAGTCAGGAACAAATGTAGTATTTCATACAATAATCCAATTATACATTAATTGATTTTGTGTAATCAGTTTGAATACCGATATTAGAAAAATTTCAAAGCTAAGCTACTTAATATCACTTACATATTGAAAGAACACCATACACCAAAGTCAGGAGCAATGAATAAAAACGGTATCACGTACAATGATACAATTGTATATTAAATTAATCTTATGTAATTAGTTTGAATACCTGGGTCAAAAACATTTTAAAGCTAAGCTACTTCATATCCCTTACATATTAAAACTATACAACAAAGTCGGGAACAAATGTAGTATTTCATACAATAAACCAATTGTACATTAATTGATTTTGTGTAATCAGTTTGAATACCGATATTAGAAAAATTTCAAAGCTAAGCTACTTAATATCACTTACATATTAAAACAACACCATACACCAAAGTCAGGAGCAATGAATAAAAACGGTATCACGTACAATGATACAATTGTATATTAAATTAACCTTGTGTAATTAGTTTGAATACTTGGGTCAGACAAATTTTAAAGCTAAACTACTTCATATCACTTACATATTGAAACAACACCATACACCAAAGTCAGGAGCAATGAATAAAAACGGTATCACGTACAATGATACAATTGTATATTAAATTAATCTTATGTAATTAGTTTGAATACTTGGGTCAGACAAATTTTAAAGCTAAACTACTTCATATCACTTACATATTGAAACAACACCATACACCAAAGTCAGGAGCAATGAATAAAAACGGTATCACGTACAATGATACAATTGTATATTAAATTAATCTTATGTAATTAGTTTGAATACCTGGGTCAAAAACATTTTAAAGCTAAGCTACTTCATATCCCTTATATATTAAAACTATACAACAAAGTCGGGAACAAATGTAGTATTTCATACAATAAACCAATTGTACATTAATTGATTTTGTGTAATCAATTTGAATACCGATATGAGAAAAATTTCAAAGCTAAGCTACTTAATATCACTTACATATTGAAACAAGACCATACACCAAAATCAGGAGCAATGAATAAAAACAGTATCACGTACAATGATACAATTGTATATTAAATTGACCTTGTGTAATTAGTTTGAATACTTGGGTCAGACAAATTTTAAAGCTAAACTACTTCATATCACTTACATATTGAAATAACACCATACACCAAAGTCAGGAACAATGAATAAAAACAGTATCACATACAATGATACAATTGTATATTAAATTAACCTTGTGTAATTAGTTTGAATACTTGGGTCAGACAAATTTTAAAGCTAAACTACTTCATATCACTTACATATTGAAACAACACCATACACCAAAGTCAGGAGCAATGAATAAAAACGGTATCACGTACAATGATACAATTGTATATTAAATTAATCTTATGTAATTAGTTTGAATACTTGGGTCAAAAACATTTTAAAGCTAAACTTCTTCATATCACTTACATATTGAAACAACACCATACACCAAAGTCAGGAGCAATGAATAAAAACGGTATCACGTACAATGATACAATTGTATATTAAATTAATCTTGTGTAATTAGTGTGAATACTTGGGTCAGACAAATTTTAAAGCTAAGCTACTTCATATCCCTTATATATTAAAACTATACAACAAAGTCGGGAACAAATGTAGTATTTCATACAATAATCCAATTGTATATTAAATTAATCTTGTGTAATGAATTTGTATAGCGATGTCAGAAAAATTTTATAGCTAAACTCCTTAATGTATTTCACGCATTAAACACTATACAGCATAGTGAGAAGCATAGAATACAAAGAGTTGCATATACAATAATAAAGCTACTTGTTATTTAACCCTTTGCGCTCTACGATTTTTTGGCTAAAAAGGGTACGAGTTGAAAAATTTTCTGCTATAAGGCTGATGATATTTTTTGAGCAGTAAATAACAAATCGTATAATAACTAACACCTAGAATTATTTAATTTCGATACCTTGCACACTGTTATATTATTTTAAATTCGATATATTAATTAATATCGAGCTTCGAAATTTTATCAAATGGTGACTGAAAGGCGCCTCTCGAGTGCAAAGGGTTAACTAGTCTCGTATTGTTCCTTTAGACGTTGATGTCGGAACAATTCACAGCCAAACTACTTAACATCGCATACATATTGATCACGACAAAGGTCAAAAGATAACAAACAAACGAAACAATTTCGTCACGTGAAAGAACAAAACCAAGAAACTTTGACCAATAACAACCTTTCTCTCTCTCTCGATTAAACAAAATTCCTCTGAGAATTAGGCTAACGCGTAGAAAAAGTTTCGCATTAACCCAAATCTCGCGATGCGAAAAGCCCTTGCAAAGAATACGAAAAAGAGGAAGGGAAAACCTTTTGAATTTTCTGTTAAACGTCTAGCGTGGTGGAGATTTGTCAAGCGTTCGTGGAGGAGAGGAGCGGCAGTTCCGGGCTGAGCGTGTTGAGGACCTTCCGGCTACTGAGAATCCTGAAGCTCGTGCGTTTCCTACCGAACCTCCGGCGACAGCTGTTCGTGATGCTGCGCACCATGGATAACGTTGCCGTATTCTTTTCCCTTTTAGTACTTTTCATCTTTATATTCAGGTAAGTTGTTCCCTTTTCCTTTAGCCAACGGTGCTCGGGAATTGTGTCGCGATTGTCGCAACGTCGCTCCTTAGAAATCGGAAATACCCGTTCAACGATCGCGTTACGCGGCAGTCATCATGTCCCGGTCTCGACCTGACGCGCGAATCGCTAAGAAATCGTTTAAACAATCTTCAAAGAAATCGTTGAAGTATCGCAATGAGATCGGTAAAGAATCGGCAAAGAATCGGCAATGAATCGGCAAAGAATCGGCAAAGAATCGGCAAAGAATCGGTAAAGAATCGGTAAAGAATCGGTAGAAAATCGGTAGAAAATCGGTAGAAAATCGGTAAAAAATTGGTAGAAAATCGGTAGAAAATCGGTAGAGAATCGGTAAAGGATCTGAATGAGATCGCTAAGAGATCGCTGAGAGATCGCTAAGAGATGGCTAGAGGACCGCGTCACGCGTTCACGGATCGATACGTGGCGCGTTTAACTCCCGTTCAGATAATCATCTCATCAGCATAACGTTCTGCATGACCGCCAAAGCGAATTGAGATCATTGGATTATCGATGGACTATTACGAATTGTGGAGAGACCATTTAAAGAAACAGAGCGTTCTAAGTGTCAACGAGATCGTCGATCAACGGTCGGTCGGCGGTGCGTGATATTCGTGGATCAGAGATTCGATCAGAGTTTAGCGCTTGTAGAGCCGTTTCATCATCGCGCGAGCTCGGGATCCTCGCGTTCCAAGCCGGGTCTCGTTGACATTTATTGTATTTTGAGAACAGCTTCTTGTCCGCTTCCGAGCTTCCACCAGGAGCTGGAGCTTGTATGTCACTGCCCTTCGAACACGAAGTGTATTAGGTGACTATGTCTTCCGTTTTATACTCCTTTGTCTTTTTTCTTCTTTATGCGCTTTTTTACCTTCTCTCACGGCATATGGATCGCCGCGTAAATGCATCTCACATAGATGACCGAGTCGCAGCAGTTCTCGTACATTATTACTACTGACACTGTTGCGTTTGCGAGCAGCGTTTTATGACGTTGTAATGGTAATGACGATGGGTGTTTGTTGGCACGTCTACGAGGGGTGTCTTGTTGGCCCTTTCTCATGGCTTGAGGCATCGAACGTGTATATTACTTCTCGTTTTTCTTTTACCTCTCTTCTTTCGTTTTTTTACCATCTTATTACTAGAGGACACCTGTTATATACATATGAATATCCATATGAATATATATATATATACGTATATGAATATATATATATTTTCATTTGTGCATGGTGCTTTTATCTAGCGACGAGTATGAGAGCTATATGTATATATATATATATCTACTATTACCTATTGATTATTCGTGTATTCGTACGTCTTTTATCTTATTCTATTGCCCCGTCTCTCCCCTTTTTTATGCTATGTACTCTCTAAGTGCCTACAAAGTGCGCCTCGGTGTGGTCATCGATATTAGACAGCTTGCGAATGGATAATATGTATCTCTTTTCGGTTATTTCATTATACTACACGGCCTCTCGCTATTCCGCGCGATCATGCGACGGTCCACCAATCGTTCACCCCAATCGTCATCGGCTTGCGGCCATTTTCTCTTCTTTCTTCATCCACGTTTCATTGGTTCCGACGATACATCGCGCTCGTGCAGTTTAACCGTTTGAGTCCCAAGCAGCGCGATCGCGCTCTTCAGTCGAAGTTGCGCGCTCAACTTTGCTGATGCACGTACGTCACATAGTACCAACAAGCGCTATTGCGACGATTGGGATTTTTCGACATAAAATTAAATAAGCGCTATCGCGCCGTTTGAACTTCGTCGCATTCGATTAACCCCTTGACTACGGCAGACTTTGATACGTAGTGGCCATATCATACGGCAGGAATTGAGTTACCATGTGCGCCATTTTTGTGAAAACAAGCTCCCTTCGTGTCAGAAAACCAAACTACGCAGAGCGCATATAGACACCTTCTGTGTCACAAACGCAAAATTTCTAAGCGTCTATAGGCGTCCTTCGTGTCACAAACGCAAAATTTCTATGCGCCTATATTCGCCCTTAGTGTCACAAACGCAAAATTTCTAAGCGTCTATAGGCGCCCTTCGTGTCACAAACGCAAAATTTCTAAGCACCTGTAGGCCCCCTTCGTGTCACAAACACAAAATATCTAAGCGCCTATAGGCGCCCTTCGTGTCACAAACGCAAAATTTCTAAGCGTCTATAGGCGCCCTTCGTGTCACAAAAGCAAAATTTCTATGCTCCCATGGACGCTCTCTGTGTCACAAACGCAAATTTCCAAGCGCCTATATTCGCCCTTCGTGTCACAAACGCAAAATTTCTAAGCGCCTATAGGCGCTCTCCGTGTCACAAATGCAAATTTCTGAGCGCCTATAGGCGCCCTTCGTGTCACAAGCGCAAAATTTCTATGCGCCTATATTCGCCCTTAGTGTCACAAACGCAAAATTTCTAAGCGCCCATGGATATTCTCCGTGTCACAAATGCAAATTTCTGAGCGCCTATAGGCGCTCTCCGTGTCACAAACGCAAATTTCTGAGCGCCTATATTCGCCCTTCGTGTCACAAACGCAAAATTTGTAAGCGCCTATAGGCGCTCTCCGTGTCACAAACGCAAATTTCTAAGCGCCTATATTCGCCCTTCGTGCCACAAACGCAAAATTTCTAAACGCCTATAGGTGTCCACAGTAGCCAAGGGGTTAAGGCAAACATTATCGCGTTGTTCAGGGTTTTTCGGCCGTCTTCTTCCGAAAGTCTTAAGCTCTGCTTGGGACTCACACGGTTATATTTGGAACCGGCTTCGAAATTTAACCGTTTGAGTCCCAGAAGGATTGGAAAAAGCACTGTCGAGGAATTCCAAGCAGCGCGGGCGCGCTGCCTCTAATTGGGTACGAATATACCCAAGCAGCGCGATGGCGCTTCTTCTATTTTATGTCGAGATATCCCAAGCGGCGCGATAGCGCTTCGTTTATATTATGGCGATGAATGGCCAAGTAGCGCGATAGTGCTTCGACTTGGACAATCAGTGACGCACCATCAGCTGTTGAGAACGCTCGAAATGTGCTGGGTTTTCTGGACATGAAATCTGAACAGCACGATTGCGCTGCTTGGGACTCAAACGGTTAAGTGTACCAGCGTCTCGATGAGCAGCTTCTTCGAAATGTAATCGTAATTCGAGATATTCAGAGGGAAATACGATGCCAGGTTGAAGTTTCGTTCCTTCCTGCTGGCTACTGTTGATAATGTATAAAGCTCGAGTGCTTTCGAATGCTCGAGGTGCTAAATGGAATTTAGTGGCAGTAAATTTGGAGCAAATGGTACTTAACCCTTTTACTGTCAGCTCCTACTTTCAGACTATTAATTAGATGTCTTTTTACGTCTAAGTTCAGTAATAGTTAAACGGTATTGCGTGTGCTTTAAATTTGAACGAAATAAATAGTAGGATTTTGAAAAATTTATTTTTGGGAATGTACGTGTCGAAATAGTTGTGGAATTTTTCGTACACACTGTGAATTTTAGGGATAAAATTCGAACTGGGAGTTGTCCTTATTCGTAATAACTTCATTACTTGGTCGTAAATACATATCATCCGCTTATATGGCCGCGAATCTGATTAATGCCTGGTCCGAGTAAAATTCGATGTTGTTTATGGCAGCCATAGTCGATGTTTCGACATTGATTTAAAAATTTCCGAAGCAGAAGAAATTAAATCTTTTATATTTTTTATTTTATATTAAAAAGGTATCACAATTGGATTATGGGTATTTCGATTAAAATATCAAATTCATGTTTGAATTAATTAAAAACTCGTCAGTTTGATGAAAAGCAGAAAAATATGGAATAATTCAGGAAAAAGATTACATATGTTTGGCTTCATAAATATAGACCATGCACTGCAAAAATTATTATAAATGAATTATGTGTTGTTTTAAAATTGTACTGTGATAAAACTCATTGTTCAAAAAATGTTAATATATCTACCAAAAATATGAATTTTTAAAAATGAAGAATAGGGTCCGGTATTATTTAAATGAAAATATATTACTATACAGTATGCAACGAAATGACAGCACACCCTATAGTTGATTCTTCCTATATTAACGAAAGTATTTAAAAAATAATAATTTTTTTCCGATATGTTTGTTGACAACGTTCCAAAATTCACGCAAGAAATAATTTTGATAGAAAACACAGGCTTTTAAATAAGAATTGTAAATATTACTCAACAGTGAAGACACGTTGTTCTTTCGTGTAGCGCTCCATTTTTAGTCATTTTGAACTGTCAGCTGACAAGCTGTACTTTTCTTCCGTTGGCAACACTTTACCGCACAAATGGCGCGAAATTCAAATCTTGGCTGAATTTCGAGACTTTATAATACCAGTTTTCCTCTCTAAAATCAAATTTCCTGTATAATCGATCGAAAAATACCAAAAATAATAACCATAGGGTGTGCTATTATTTTGTCACGAATGTGTACAACTCATTCTCTCTTATTTTTCATTTTTGTGCTGATATATGCATCATTGCTTATCGGACAATATCAGTCAATTCGTGAAAAACGTAGACTTTCACAAAAATTTTGAAATCAAATTTTGTAAATTTTGAAATTTCATTGATAATACATATTCCGGATATATGGCCATATTTAATCGGAATCGGTGTCCATATACGCGATCAATATGTACCTATAGCTACACATAGTATGGACAGTGCTGCCTATCAGCGCCATCTGCGGCGCCATCTATGACGCCATCTTGGTGTTAATCGGGGCCGTTGAGTAACTAATTTACGAGCACGCTGTATCGTTCGAACCAACTATGCCAGCCCGCGATACCTGATTTTTATCGAAACTCGGATTTTTATCTGCGAATTTTGTTCCACGTATCGTTTGTATCTTCGCATCGTATAAATTATTTTTCCAATGTTTTTATCGCCGTTTTTGCCCGTTGGTCGGTTCTTTGGCGAGGAACGCATAATCATCAGCTGATAGCCATGCGATAGGTGTTGAATCGTTTCATCGCAATATACACTATCGGCCAGAAGCATGATCATTTATTGCTACTCCTCATGGCAGTTTGTGATAAGCTGTATGTGTATTCGATGTGGCAAGTCGATATTTGTTCTTATAGTAACAACTTATCGTTACTGCATTACGTGTTAGAAAATGGAATATCGATACGTCAAAAGCCGGGTTTTCAAGCGTTAATATAGCCGAAACTTTTCTGGTATGTTTATATACCGGGTGAGCAATGTAACTTGATCACTTTAATCATTTATGTTGCTAACTGAAATTTTTTGTTCTGTCAATAGAACTATGAAATTAATCAAAACGTTTATCCAGTTGTTTTCATTTTGTGACTATAATTATTACCCTCTATACTATCTATATTCTATGTTCTGTGTTTGAGTTAGGTTAGGTTAAGTTATGCTAGTGTTAATACATTGGTTCTAAAACCAAATTTTCCTAAAAGATAGGAAAAATTATCTTCTTCCGTTTAAAAAATTAAAATCAATTTTGAAAATTTGAAGGAAAATTTGAAAAATAATTTAATTAAAATATAGTTTTAGAACAAATTTTTAACTGGTACAGTGCTAATGAAAATAATCGAAATGATCGAGTTACATTTGTTCACCTCGTGTGCTTTTATTATATATAATATGTGTAACTCGTGACTGTCTTTGCGTAAGACGGAGGATTTCGAACGTCGAAATACGAGCTGCAAACGAACCTAAACGAAAGACTAACCTTTTGCAGTTAGTTGTCTGTCAATTTGGGCTCGATATTTCGTTCTCTATATTTTCGATATATAAAACACAGCTTTTGTGTTATAACTTGATCCAACAGAAATATACATAGGTACGCTACTGGCTGGAAAAAATACAAAAATGAAATTAAATCTGGAATAATTCTCCAGCATAGAAATACGAACTGCAGAAGGTTAATATTCGAGAATCCGAATGCCTATTTCGCATAATACAAAGAAGGAAGAATCAGAATTAGAATTTTTTAATTTTCCCAAATTTTTCCGAAATACTGATTTTTGCCGAGATTCTATACTTTTGGCTGGTAGTGTATACCACTATCGAGAAAATTGAACGTAGGCTTGATAAATAATTTTTTATTTTTCGAATTCACTTATTGGAACCTAGCTTGATCACAGATAGGATGATTAAATTCTCAAGTTGAATCAGTAGTAAATAAAAACTGTTAGTCGAAGACTCGTGATCTATATGATATAATAGAAGTTTGAAAAATTCAGTATTTTTTCGACGAAATTTTTGCGTGCTTTTTGCCAAAGAGAATAGCCGTTGAACGAAAGTCTGCATTAGAACGCGCCATGAAGTAGGACGTGCGCACCGTCATTAGGCTTTTTAAACAATTACCTGTTAAGTGACTCGATTTACCTTAGTCGAGAGGTGCTTCTCTTCTATTTTCTTTTTTTTTTCAGTTAATTTCTTTTTCTTTCTACTATTATGCCATCCTCCACCTGACCCGGGCCCACCCTCTTCTCTCTACGTCCCTGATTCTTACTACACTTCTTATTTCCTCTCTCTCTCTCTATCTTCCCTACTCATACTATCTATCTATCTATATATTTACGGATAAGGAAGTACATTGCACGTTTCGTTGTGTTGTAGTATTCTCGGGATGAACCTGTTTGGTTGCAAATTCTGTGAAACGATGAAAGGCAGCTCTGACGTCGAGTGTGATAGGAAAAACTTTGACTCGTTACTCTGGGCTATTGTGACGGTGTTTCAGGTACCTACAAAGGATACTTTTCCACGTATCTCTCGAGGGCTTTTTTTCCTCTATATAGTGTATATTATATTATATTATATTATATATTATATATTATATATTATATATTTATATTATACATCCACGTATGCTAAGTTACCTATATATGTATATATATATATGTATACATATACATATATATCCTATATACATACATTACATACGTATGATATCACGTTTGTCATTGAACGGCGAAAGCCTCTCGTAAGACCGCAGACCGTGTCATCTACTTTATGATTTCGCGAGGCCTAAGGTAACGTATGAGAGATACATACACGAAACGAAACTCTCTTATGGCATGCAGCCGTATTATCGAGGTAGGAGGCCACGGATCATTCGAACGACCGAACCTAAGATGATGTTTCTTCGCTTTTTCGTATTCGTCTAATTCGCAGTCGCTGCTTAGCGAGAGTAAAGCGTTTGAAAATGGCGCCATCTCTCGCGCACTTTTGCCGTCGCAGCGCGTCGAGCTGGCCCTCGGAACATGCTTCAACGCTGCTTTCTTTTCTTTTGCGTCTTGCTTCCGCCACGCGTTCTCTCCCATGCGGCTTCTATTCGTCTCTTACGCCAATCCAATCGAACCGTTCGATCTGTTAATCGGAGGAGCGTGCTCCTCTTCCGTTTATCCTTTGCATTGCTGCAAACCTGTTTCGCGTTCGATATCGCGAAGGATAATGTTTAACCTCTTAGTGTCGAGTTACGTTTTCAGTGCATCGGTTATTTCTATGGTAAAGGGACGACGACGGTGCCAGACACGTCGTTCGACGTTAGGTGATTACTTTTAGGTTAGGTTACTTTTGTTGTCAATGAAATGCGGTATTTTAATTTTTATCTGATATAAATTGACTTTTTCTTACGGTGAGATTAGATGGAAGTTAAAATAAAAATTCGCCCCCGGGTGGGCTCGAACCACCAACCTTTCGGTTAACAGCCGAACGCGCTAGCCGATTGCGCCACGGAGGCGATTTGGTCTCTCATTTTTAATACAGATTGTCATACGACTGGAAGTAGTTATTGATAAAGTTGTTGATAGTTCAAGATGTTATCGATGTTTTCATGTAAACATAATGTCGTTATGATATCGTTATGGCAAATAGAAGTAAATTGGACTATTAATTGTAATCAAATTGTTTGGAATTTCGCAACGAGGTATTTATTAATGTATTTTCACTGGAATCGTATTTATTTAATTCGAGCTATTTGTAATTTTTATTACACGTTCTATTTTATATATTACAGGAATTTGTAATACTTATTGTTAGTAATATGAGCCGTTCACCGCACAAATTGATTAACTCCATAAAACAAAAGTGAAGAAATGCAATGAAATAATGTATATTGTTTTTTAAAATTCCCTTTATAATTTAAATCGAAATAAATATCGTAGAATGCATAAATACTAATGCAACTTTCATCTAACGGTATATAAAATTTATAAGAAAAATAACCAAAAGGTAATCGTTAGTAATGTTACCATTTTTATGTTACTGGAAGAGTTAATCGATTTGGCTAGTGAAAAAAGTAATAAATTTAAATTTTACTAAATTTTACTTAAATTCTGATAAGACGGCACTAAAAAATTCACCGTTATCATTCATGGCTTGCTAGTGCATTTGAGTTGCATTATTGCAACGATTTACATTAGAGTACGGAGTTAATCAAAGCGACCTCTGAAATAAATTATTTATTATTCAGTGGCCAAAAAATTTTTGTCGTTTAACGGTGTTAATCTTAATTATCAGGGAAAGTTATTATAAATATAAAAAGTTATGACTATACCAAGTGCTTTGACGCTTAAATTTAAGATTTTTCAAAAAGTGAGGTTAATCGATTTGTGCAGTGAACGACTCATATGTATATAGTGATTTATACAGGGTGTCCCAGTACAATCGAAAAGGGGGTGATTCTACATGAAAAAACAAATCGAAAATAAAGAATAAAATTTTTGCATTCGAAGCTTCGTTGTTGAGAAAATCGACTTTGAATATTCACCAAGTACACCTAATTTTGGGATGCATCATATTGTACCAGCGTACTCGTTGGATAGGGAAAGTCTATTTTCTCGACAACGAAGCTTCGAATGAAAAAATTTTATTCTTTATTTTCGATTTGTTTTTTCACGTAGAATCATCCCTGCCGTTGCTGGGACACCCTGTATATCATAAATCGTATTAAATATTTAATATTTATTTTCAAAATTCTTTCAAATAGAGAAACAGGAGTAAAACCAAAGTAGAAAATATGTTTTTTCTAATATGTCTCAATAAAAATAAATAAATTTTAAACGATTTCATTATAATTATAATTATAATTAATACGTTGTAACCTTTTTTAGTCACTTGTCTTTGTTTTAACGACATCATAGCGATATATCGATACGTGATTCAGATATCGTTGAGTTATCGATTTTATCGATAATGCATAATCGTGTCGAAGTTTAATATAGGTTAATTTGAATAAAGAATTTTGCAAATTTTATTCTTAAATGATAGAAATAGGTAAAAAGAGACTTATTTTATGAAACAATTTAAATTAGAAATAATTTTGAAAAATATAAAGAAGCTTCCTTTAAATTTAGGTTTACATATTTGCTAGAATTAATGCTCAATAGAATGTAAATTGTATAATTAGTTCTCAGTAGTTCTCAACCGTTTCATCTGACCAAATTAATATATGTTCAACTAACAATTAACTTTGTAAGTACTGTTCATTCGTAGTAATATATTCTATTATTCATGATTCAAAAATTTGATGCAATTTAATTTATTTGATGCAATTTAATTAATTAATTCGCGTACCATAAGTTGAGAATCGCTGTTCCATGTTTCATTCGAACCTTTTAACGATTAGACATACAGCTTTTTATCCGTCTAACATGTTTATCACAAATTACCACGATGTTGTCACCGATAAATAAAGGAATTATATGGCACAAGAGGAAGAGAGATTCGCGTACGAGACGTTTAGAAACCGTGGAAGGAACGCGGTGATAGTCGACGAACGAAAGATCTTACATCACATCTTGCGAAATAGTTTTCACCGTCGTGCCATCGTGTCGGAAGATAAGGATTGACCAAGCGCTCGTCGCGGCACGAAAATGGCCGATCGCTTCAGAGAGTCCGCTATGCCTCCTTGTTAAATTGTCCTCGGTCGGTAAAACAGAACTGTGATATAAGCTCTTTGCTCGCAGGTAATCGCGGTAAAGCATCGTATCTCGCGTACGAGCAGCAGCAATTTGCATCGAAGCTTCGCATTTGTTACTTGTTGATTGTTCTTTGTTGTGGTCGTCGCAAGTGCATAATCTCTCACTTCTAGCCTGCTGCCACGTATCTTTCACGATTTCTTCCGTGTGACATGGCGTCGAGATGACAAGTGATTGAAGTTTCTTGCGTTTTGCGTCCTGGTAGAAGGTTGTTGGCAATTGTCTCTGTGACCTGAGATTGTTTGGATTGTCGCATCAGCATAGATGGAAAAATCGCCGACCTTTTGCCTTTTTTTTCGTATCAGCGTTTTTTCCAGCTTTGATCGCTTAACTTCGATTGATCGTACGCTCGTGCCGTGCATGTTAATTATCGTTCACATTCTGTGTACGCTTTGCATGCTGATATGTGTCCCCAAGTGATCGTTGTTGTTGCTTTTCATCGCTGTTGGCCCTGACCGTGTTTCAAATACGCACACATCTCCTTACAATATTTACATTCGATCATACGACATCCCGTTACATTGGAAAAAATAAACGGCAATCTGATTACCTGTTATACGATACAATCCTGATGTTCGCTCAATGGTCGCAGGGATCTCTAACTTTAACGCGATGGTACTTTTTCATGGTTACACACTTCAGAGTTATATCGTTTATACTATATATGTATCATCGATGTTTTCCTTCCTTTTTTCTTTTGATATTTATCGTTGATTCATCAATCTTTTTTTGGGAAGGGTATTTTAAATATTTTGGTTGTATTGAAAAGAGACAGATGGCGTTATAAGAACTAGTTACTTTTTCATGGTTACACACTTCAGAGTTATATCGTTTATACTATATATGTATCATCGATGTTTTTTTTCTTTTTTTCTTTTGATATTTATCGTTGATTCATCGATTTTTCTTTTTGGGAAGGGTATTTTAAATATTTTGGTTATATTGAACAGACACAGATGGCGTTATAAGAACTAGTTACTTTTTCATGGTTACACACTTCAGAGTTATATCGTTTATACTATATATGTATCATCGATGTTTTTTTTCTTTTTTTCTTTTGATATTTATCGTTGATTCATCGATTTTTCTTTTTGGGAAGGGTATTTTAAATATTTTGGTTATATTGAACAGACACAGATGGCGTTATAAGAACTAGTTACTTTTTCATGGTTACACACTTCAGAGTTATATCGTTTATACTATATATGTATCATCGATAATTTTTCTTTTTCTTTTGATGTTTATCGTTAATTCATCGATTTTTCTTTTTGGGAATGGTATTTTAAATATTTTGGTTATATTGAACAGAGGAAGATGGTATTATAAGAACCAGTTAGTTTTGAGAGGCATTTGATGCAATGGCGACGGTTTTATTGTTAGCTGAATCCCATTATGGAATTCCACTATGAATTTCACTATGGATGGCATATATCGGGTGTCCATGTTGAAACAAGAAATGCGAATTATTTGTAGATGATCTGCTGTATGAAAAAATGATTCACATGCGAATTCAATGGGTTTGGGAGAAATATAGGGTAATTGGTTTTTCTTTAGGTGGGCGCGTAGAGGTTATGTAAAGTTCCACTTTGTTCTTTTAAATCACATTCTCTACGAAAAGGTATTAAGCTTTATATATAGAAAAATTATCAGTTTGGAAGATACTTTAATTTAAATATCATTAATTTTGCCATAGAAACTAAAATAATATTAATAAGTGAATTATGGTTACCTGACAATATCTAAATTAAAATACCTAAAT